AGGCTTTATTTTCCGAAAGATCCCCGTCTAGACTGGCGCTTTTTTCCGGCAAAGCCCCGAGCCCTCTTAAAAAAAGAGCCATGTTTATGCAAATGAAGCGGGGGGGATTTAAATCCCCGCTTCATTTGCAATTGCAATGTGTCTAATTTGCATCCCTTTTACGGAAAAGGGGTGCAGTCTAGACACAGCCATATAGTGTCATGAGCTTTTGTGGGCAAAACCCACTTCAGGTGAGCTGGAGTGGAAATAATAGAAACCAAGTGTGGAAGAAAACATTGTCCTCACTCTGTGTTTGTAAGCAACAAGAAGTCAGAGGCAGTTTTATTAGGAGCTGCAGCAAGGGAAAAACTGGTTTGGATGCGGGGGGGAGATCTTCGAATACAAGCAATTATGAAGCAGTTTATATACTGTCCATTACATATAATAACGATAAACAATTAGTCTCCTTCCCATTACAAACACAAGTGGCTAGCAGCTATTTTAGTTCCACCCAGATGCTCCTTATCTCAAGGTCCTTGCCAGAGTCAGTATTTTATCCTTATCTCCTAAAACGAGAGGCAAGATCTTTTACAGCTCTGCGTTGTTAGGGTTAGAGTTAGCTTGACTCTTGCTTCACTGCTAACAAACCTGAAATGGGTGCATGCCAATTCCCTGTGCCTCCACACAAGATATATATAGTAGCAAAAAAAAAAAAAAAAGTGCCTGTCAATTGCAGGACTGGAGCTAATGAGACGAATTAAGTGGGCTGGGAATGTTCCATACTCAGCTTTTGATGTAAAAATGCAGTTGTTAAAGGCAGGGGAGACTAGCTTTATAATGCAACATCCGGCTAATGTCTTTGTTTGAGCCTAGGGTAACAGTGACATCTGTAAATAAATACCAATTATGCGCTCTCTGGTGAAATTCCTGTGGAGAAGAATGGCTACTTGTAAATCCATGATTGCGTGCCCAGGCAGGTGAAAATGTTCCCTAACATGTTTCTGTGTGTTACCATTTCTGATGTCTGATTTGTGTCCATTTATCCTTGGTCGTCAAGACTGTCCAGTTTGGCAAAATCCACGGCAGAAGGGCATTGCTGGCACATGGTGGCAAAGATCACATTGAAATTTACGAGTAGGCAAAGTACGAAAAATGCTGCTTGAGAAACTTTAGACTTGAAATCCAGGTATTTAGACCGCTCCAAGTAGGTATGTTTCGAACGCACGAGGGAACGGCTAGTAAAAACAAGTCGGAGGGATTGCTTCCTGAGTATGTATTTCTGAATATGTTGCGGTGTGATGTTGGCGATTTGTGGTGTACCGGTTTATGACGTTTTATTTATTTTTTGAAATCGTGAGGCATCCTGTCACGAAGTAATTGTCAGGCCCTGCAAGTGTGCCAGTTATTCTGGCTACTGTCAAATGGCAGTTTGCCTGCAATGGTGAACATTTTAATCAATAAAAGACTAAAAAAATAAGTGTGTGGGTTCAAAATAAACATCATGATTATCTGGTGAAGTTATTAAAAAGTAAAAATCAAATTCTGCCTAGAGTAGTTATAGACCTCGCGACTATCTCCTCGCCGGTTGAAGACGTAGCGGAGAAGTGTCATTCCTTCTGGCGAGGTTCTGGGTCTGGTTAGGTTTAAGCTGGGGCGTGGGCAAAAGCCATTCAAAGGGCTAGATCTGGCCTGTGCAGCAGTTCCCGGCCCCACCCCCTAACGTGTCACCTTGGATGCAGTGAGCTTTTTTAGCTGCTTCAATTTAAAGGGCTCACGCCTTCTCCATAGCTGCCAGGCCACCACAGGGAAGGCATGAGCCCTTTAAATAGAAGTAGCTGAAAGGGCTGTTGCGTCCCTGGCACCCAGGCAACGCGCTAGCAGCGAGGCCGGGAGCAGCGAGCCCTTTAAATAGCAGGAGTTGAAAGGGCTCGCAGCTCCCACCCCTGCCAACGTGATTCCTGGGAGTGCAGGGGAGGCGCGAGCCCTTTCAGTTCCTGCCATTTAAAGTCCCCATCCTTTCCACCCGAGGCCCAGGGTTGCCAACCGTCAGTAAATTTACGGACAGTCTGTAAAAAAATAGCCAACATTGAACAAGTCCGTAAAAAAATGTAGGTGTCCGTAAATTTCGTAAAAGTGCAATAAAATGTCAAGAAACAGCACTTATTCTATAGCAATGGCATTTCTTCTCAGCTGCTTCAGCCATTTTACCGTGGAGCAGTTGTAGTTGTTTATTTAGCTCAATGGTTAACAGTGTCAGTGCTCGGATGTGCGATCACAAAACGGAACACTTCCAGGACCATGACTGACTCAATGAAAGTGAGTTAAGTAGCATGTTGTTCTTGTGACGTATGAATGACAACGATTACTCTTCACTTTTGGCCATTTACGTCGTCTTAATATAGTATAAAAATGATGTCCGTACAAAATTTTGTCTGTCCGTAAATTTTCCCCAT